TTGCTGAAAAAATTGTAAGTGTTATTCTTATCTATCAATTAATAAATGATTATTAAAATGCATACTAATTAGCTCTACTTTTCACAGGATTCCCTCTCTCAAGAAGTATCATAGGGCAAGCTTCCTGAGCATAAGGATATCTTAGCTAGAGCGTTGGGGACCCCTGACCACCTTGGTCGTGTTAGGGGTGTCGGCTTTTGTGTCACAAAGAAGCAATACTTTGGCAAAATTAAGAAGCGAACATCGGCTTCTTCATCCGAGGTCCAAGAGTTGAGAGAAGAGTAAGCTATTATGAAGTAATAGCTAGAAGCCCAGGCGAAGTTAATTGACATGCTATTGAAGGGGCAGATCCCTAGGAAGCTTTTGGCTGATGTTAGCCCCAGCGGGAAAGATAGCTGTACAGTCCCTTCAAACAAAATACCAGAGGTAATGCATTTTCTCTTCTAAATTTGCTTAACTAATTTTTTATCTAAACAACTGACATTCTTCATTTATTTAGGGCGAGAATGACTGCAACTGTTTAGCAAACGATCTGTCATGCAAAATAGTTGCAACGGGACGCGTGTATAACATTGTCGGGGACACAATCCATAACCTTCCCCTCCCGCCCGATTGCATTAGGGTTTCCTTGCTTGTTGCAATCGACCCTAAGTATCCATTACCTTATCCTACCGATGAGATGCAGATGGTAGGAGATGTATTAGGAAGCTTCATTGCATGGCCCAGCCACCTTGTTATGGTTGGTACATTAAAGCCGATAAAGGACCCAAAGCTACCAAAGGACCCCTTGCCAACAAAGAAAAAGGTATATATGATTTATATAATTATTTAGAATCTTTAATGTGTGTGTGTATGTGTGTGTGTAACTTTTTCATTGTATAGCCAAAGGGGAAAAGCAAATTGAAGGGCAAGGTGTCGAGCTATACTAAAAAGTCAGCCACAGTTTTACAACATGCAATGCCTATGCCTGTTGTAGAAAACAAATTCCGTGACTCTCTTAAGACCTATGCTTCAGCTACGAGGATAATTCGTCAAGTGCCGATTGGGGATATCATTAATTTTGACGATAGGCTATTTGGTAGAGCATCATTTAAAGTCATTCGAGATGAAATTTTGAATGAAATCCTCAAGCATGATATGGCGAGCACTAGTTTGATAACTTTTTACATGAGGTAATTCTTTAAGATTTATTAGTTAATTTCTTGAATTATTTATGTGTGTGAGTATGCAAGCATATTAACTTATATATTTTTTCACCCAAGTCACCTTTATACCTTATACGTGGTTCCTGGTGGCCTCGAGTTGAAGATCAAGCTGGTTAATCCTCATGATGTCTCTCCCCACAATAATATTACAAAGGAAGCCCTTGAAAATCAAGCAAGAATGCTTTCGGATCAATTTCGAGAAAGGGGAGCAACGAAGGATACTTTATTTCTCGCTCCTTACTGCCAAGGGTGAGTTGTTAATATTTGTTATGAGTAAATATTTTTTATATTTATTTGTTTGGTAACATGTGCTATTTCTTGTTAGGGGACACTGGATGCTTATTGTGGTTAATCCTGTTGCTCCAAAAATATGGTATCTCGATCCCCTTAATAGAGAGCTAAACAACAGGGAAGATATGGTGGTACTTTTTAATGAGTAAGTTGGATTTTTTTACTTGTTATTTATTTTTATTTTTAGTTTTAATTCATATATATTTCTCACATTCATTCCATAATTCCTTCTTAGAGCTGTGGTGTTGTATCGCACTGCGACCGACATGATTGTGTCCCTGAAGATGAGGGCATTTGAATCTTCAGAGAAATGGGTCACTGTTAAGGTATTCATTTAATTGGTCAAGTTTTTAATCAAGAAACTGTCTCATTATATTTTACAATTTCATTGACATGTGCTTTTTTACAGTGTCCATTCCAGCCAGATCAGAGCAATGACTGTGGTTATTGCTTGATGAAGTTCATGAAGGACATTATCACTCATGCCCCTACCACATTATCTGACAAGGTATATATATAAAATTTAATTACACTTCAATTATAAATTTTAAACAATTTTAATTAGCTACCTATTAACTTGAAATTGTTGTGACTATTTGCTTACAGTACTTTGAGGACATCTATTGCGTTCGTTATACGGCTGCACATGTAGAAGAGGTCCTTGAAGAGGTGGCCCAATGTGTTTTCAATATGTGGGTAGCAACAGTAGTTAGGCCGGTACAATAGTTTTACATTTATATACTCATTTTTTGGGCCAATTTTTATTGGATAGGCCACTTAGTTTTGGAACATTAGTTTGCAAATAAGTTGAGCATATAATTTTTAGATTTTAAGGTTAAATGTATAGGAATTTTTATGTTAATTAGATAGGAGATACTATTACAAACATTCATTATATTGCACTATTTTCATTGCTGGCTGGCTGGTTTTATCTTTATCTGTATCTTTATGCAGGGGGGCTGCTTTAAAAGCAGCCACCATATTAAAAAAAATTATGCCATAAATACTTGACGGTTATTTTAAAATAACTGTCAAGTATTTACAAATACTTGACGCTTGTTTAATATACTTGACGCTTGTTTTAAAATAAGGGTCAAGTATTTATTCTGGAAAGTGCATATTTAGTTCATATACTTGACGATTTTTTTCAAATAACCGTCAAGTATAAGATTAATACTTGATGGTTAAAAATCGTCAAGTATTATTTTTTTAATATATGTCTCACCCTTACTTGATGATTAAAAATCGTTTTTAACCGTCAAGTATTGTAAAAAATAAGTGTCAAATATGGGTATTTTTTGTGGTAGTGAATATGAAAGAATAGAGAGTAGAAAAGATTTGAATGAATTCAATTTCCAAGCTTGACTCATTTAAGCCTTGAAAATCGAATCGAGCTCAAGTGATTTTAGATACCTTATATAAATATCTTGATAATGACAATTAAAATTTTAATGCATGATTTTCTTAAAAAATGTAATAAATAAAATGGTGGTATAGTTAGAAAAATAATTTTTTTAGTATATTGTCCCTGACATTTTAAATCAAGCAAGGCTTTTAAAAGATGTTCCATATTATGGATTGAAGGAAATATTTTTTAGTATTGATTTTATATTCACTACTCATTTTTCATTATCAGTCTCGTGCCCACCTTATTATAAAACCCTTATACTATTTTATTTTCTTCATAATAAATTAAAAATTACTATATACAAAAATAAAAAAAGAGGTTGGATGCTATTGTAGAACTACAATAACCATCCGACGGTAATTACTATAGAGAGCAGATTATTACTTTTTTTCTATAAACTATTATTATTTTTTCCTACTTATTCCTTTATCATTTGTTATTTTTTCCCTCTTATCTTCCCCCCTTCTTTTTTTATCTTATAGATAATTATTTCTACTTATTTTTTTCCTACCTATCATTTGTTATCCCTTTTTTTTATACTTATTCCTCTTTTTTTCTATTATTATATCTTAACTGTTTCAATATTATTTAAACAATATTTAAATAAATATAATTTCTTAAAAAAGTTAAGAGCCTATTTATTTATTTCTCAATCTCATAAAGAAGATACAAAGGTCCCTTTACAATTGCCAAATGCGTTAGAAGGCAATGCATCAGGTGCAACTTCTTCCCAAACTCAATATTCATCCTATCATTCATGTTAGCCTCTTGAAGAAGTCTTATAGGTATGAAGAAGTTCTATCCCAAAATATCTCAAAAAGAGCACTAAAAGCTATCATCCAAAGTGCGATAAGGAAATATAAGAAATCCTAACTGATAGGGTGATTTGGAAAAGAGGAGTTTCCAACTATATTAAGTACTTAATCAAGTGAAAAGGTCAAGATGACTCTAAAGCAAGTAGGAAATGTGAAGACCTCTTGTGGCAATTCTCCGACCATGTTCAACACTGCAAGAAGGATGGTGCGATGAGGGTGTCATGAAATTAAGTGAGGAAGAATGTCACATTTTATGAATTTTAAGAGGATAAGAGAGTATTTCAAGATATTTAAGAAGAATCTAGAATGTTTCTAGATTGTTCTAGAAGTATCTGAAACAATCTAAAAGGATATAGAAACTTATGAAGAGATGTGGAGATATCTAAAATATTCTAAGATATTCTAGGATGTTATAGAATGTTCTAGACATATCTTGAAGATAGCCTTTAGAAAAGTTCATGTAAATATCTAGATATTTCGATAGAGAATTCTAGAGAGATAGTAGCAATTGTAGGATCAAATCAATCTCCACTGTCTATTAAGAGGTGGGAACATTCTAGATAAAATGGGAGGTCTACAAATACCTTTACCCTCCTCATTTATAAGTATCCTTAAGTTCTTAAAGCAATATAACTCTCATATTCTCTTAACCCTCTTATTCATCCTTTGCTCTAGAGCCGGTAATTTGGGCCAAGCCCGATAGGCCAACCCGAACCCGCCTGAAAATTTTAGGGCCAAACCCGAATAAAAAATATTTTTTAATGTTCGGGCTTATTCGGGTAGCCCAAATAAGCCCGAATACCCGCATTATTTTTTTATTTTTTTTTGCATTTCTTTTCTTACTTTCTAGTTTCTTAATGCTCTGTGCCTCTGCCTTTGCTCACTGCACTGCTGACCAACTAACCTGAACGCCTCTGCTCACGCCTCACGAAGTCAATCAAGTCACGCCTCACCTGCACCTCACTGCCTCAGTCTCACATTTATTGACTCAGCCTCACCGGCCACCGCCCTCACACGCATGCAGAAGCTAAAAAAGTTAAAAAGAGAAGAATAGTAGAACACTCTAGTCTGATAGTCTCCCGAGCACTCACTCAGCCACTCAGCACACTACCGCACTTGCATCGTCGATCACCTTGTCGTCAATCGCGAACACTGCACACACACAGCCAGAATCAAGCAAAGCAAGTAAAGACCACTCGGACGAGAGACCACACAGCCAGAATCGCGCACACTGTTGCAGTCTCAGATCTATTTGCCTCAAAGCCTCATAGATCTACTCACCTTGCCGTCACCCTCCTTTCCATCTCGTTTTGGTTTTACACTCTGCAAAAATATTTCACCCTCATCACCGAAAACTATCCTTGGGAGCACAGGTGAGCTTTCATCCTCTAATTTTCCAAGTTTTCCTATTTTGTTTCTTTCTATTTATGTCAATATTCGACTCATTTGGATGGAAAAGTGGATGCTGTGGCTGTCTGGCTAAATGAGTTATCTCTCTGTGTGTGAATGATTTAGATTGAATTTACTCTGACCCGTGAGGTGATTTAGACTAAGTACAAGTGGTTTTCTGTTCTGTCTTTATACATGTCTAGACAATTTGAATTTGCATGAAGCTATTTAGGAATAGATCTTGTATTGAAAAAAAATCTTGTTATGTATTATTTGGTGATCATTAATCATTATACTATCGTTTGGTGATCATTATACTCACTTAGCTAAGTAGTCACGATTGAGAGGGGCATGGGTTTCTTTTTTCTTTTTAGTGGTGGTTAATTGATTTTATTTAATTTTATTTATGTCTCATTATTTGCAGTAAACAATGTCTTCTAGTCAAAAGAAATATATTGAAATTGGTGGTTTTACTAGTAATAAAAATGTGGGTGCTAGTGGTAGTAAGGTGGATGATAATTTGCATGCTAGTAAGGTGGGTAATGTTGTTGAACAAGGAGAAAAATCTATTTGTTCTGGTAAAAGAAAAGCTTCTGAACAAGGAGGGAAGCTTTCTGGAAGTAAAAGAGTCAAAACTTGCATGTCTGATGTTTGGAAATCTTTTTCCAAAGTTATAATTGATGGAAAAACAAAGGCTAGATGTAATGGTTGTAATAAAGATCTAGCAGGATCTGGAGCTGATGGCACATCTCATCTAGCACGGCATACTAAGAATTTTCCACAACTAGCTAAGTATCATGATGTTGGGTTAATGTTGATGGATAAAGAAGGAAAATTAAGGTCTAGGAAACTTGATGAAAAGGAGGCACGACATTCTTTGTCTATGATGATAATTGAACATGATTTGCCTTATTCTATTGTTGAATATAAATGGTTTAGGCATTATTCTACTGTCTTGAATCCTAGCGTGAAGTGCATTACTAGAAAAACAGCGGTAAGTGATGTCATGAAAGTATATCATGGGCACAAAGAAACCTTGAAAAAAAAATTGTTAAATAGTGTTGGAAGAATTTCCTTGACATCTGATTGTTGGACAGTTGTAACCTCTGAAGGTTATTTATGTTTGACTGCTTATTTTGTTGATGAAAATTGGACGTTGAATAGTAAAATACTTTCTTTTTGTCACATGGAACCTCTACATTTTGGAGTAGAATTGGCTAGAAAAGGATATGATTGTTTGGTGGAGTAGGGGATAAATAAGAAAGTATTTTCTATTACTTTAGACAATGCCTCTGCAAATGATAATATGCAGGAGAAATTGAAAGAAAGGCTAGCTTTGCAAGATAGTGCAAGCTTGATTTGTGAAGGGGAGTTTTTTCATATAAGGTGTTGTGCCCATATCTTAAACCTGTTAGCTCAAGAGGGTTTAAAAGTGACAAGTACCGCTTTAAACAAGATTAGGGACAGCATTAAGTATGTAAGAGGATCAGAGGCAAGAATGATTGCTTTCAAGCAATGTGTTGATGAAGTTGGTGGAATTGATTATTCAATGGGCTTGCGAATGGACATGCCCACTAGATAGAATTCAACTTTTGCAATGCTTGAAAGTGCATTAAAATATCGTTGTGCTTTTACCAGCTTATCTTGTCATAATACAAGTTTCACATCTTGCCCAACACATGAAGAGTGGAGGAGAGGAGAGGAGATGTGCAATTTCTTGAGGCCATTTGATGTTATGACAAGGTTGATGTCTGGGTCTTGTTATCCCACTTCAAATTTGTATTTCTCTCAAGTGTTAAAGATTTGACTCTTGTTAGATGAAAATATGTTCAATGGTGACCTTGTGATTTGTGAAATGGCCAAAAGAATGAAAGACAAGTTTGATAAGTATTGGAATGATTATAGCAATATCCTTGCAATTGCAGCTGTGCTTGATCCACGAATGAAGCTTCAAATGATACAGTATATGCATGCCAAAATTGATCCTATAAGTTGCCATGCAAGGATTGGGAATATTCAAAGCAAATTGAAATATATTTTTAATCAGTATAAAGAGGTGACTTCTATTTCTGATGTTGGGGCTGGATCAAGTTCAACAATGCCAACACATGGGTATCAAGTTCAATCCTCCGTTACTTCTAATGCTTCAACAAAAACAAGCAATATTCAAGGGATTTTATATGTAAGTTTTTTTTTATATTTTTAATCTTATTTTAATTTTTTAAGACATATGTTACTTCAAATGTTTGCATAATGCAGGATTGGATTAGTTATACAAGTATGGATTTTATGTCTATTGGCAAGTCTGAGCTTGAATTTTATCTGGATGAAGCAATACTTTAGCCTCATGTATATCAAGAGTTGGATGTCCTTAAATGGTGGAATACTAATAAAGGTAGATTTTCAATTCTTTCGAAGATGGCAATTGATATACTTAGCATTCCAATCACTACAGTGGCAAGTGAGTCTGCATTTAGCATTGGTTCACATGTTCTTACAAAATACCGGAGCACTCTTCTTCCTGATAATTTTCAAGCTCTGATTTGCACCCGTAACTGGTTGCGTGGCTTTCAAGATGATGGTAATATGTGATTATTTTCATATATTTTTTTATTTCTTGATTAGAAGCAAATTTCACTAAATTATATTACAAAACTTGTTCATTTATTGCAGAAAATGAAATGGTGATTGAAAATGAGAGGAAATCATCTGAAGAATTATCACCAGTTGATATGCTCATTGGGAGTTCAAATGTAGCTTCGGATGATAATGACAATGTCAATCAAGAGAGTCAAGAGGAATAGGAAATTAGAGAAAATTGACAGCATGATGTTTTGACTTTTGAGCATGATATTTTGAACTTTATTGTGAAATTTTTATCTTTTTTGTGAAGGAATTATGCAATTATATATTATTAAACTCTGATTTTTAAGTTATTTAAACCTTTATAAGCTTTATTGGTATTTGATAGCATGCCTTTGTTGTTAAATTAAGCAATTAACTTTTCAAATTTTATTATTATTATTAATATTAATGTATTTTTAATAATTTTTCACATGTATCTTACTAATCTAGAATGTGTTGTTATATTTATATTATTTGAGAAAAGAAATAGCTTTTAAATTACAAATTAAAATCAGTTCAAGAAAGGAAAAAAAATATTTTTTAAAATTTTCAGGTATTTGGGCCAGCCCGAATAAGCCCGAAGCCCAAAGACCTTAGGGCCGGGCTTAACTATATGAGCTTTTTTTAAAGGTACGATACTTAAAGCCCGGCCCGAATTGAGCCCGGCCCAAATAAGCCCAGCCCGCCTAAATTACCGGCTCTACTTTGCTCTCAAGATTTCCCTCATTCAACTTTACCAAGCATCCTCTTTCTCAATAAATTAGGCTTACTTAATATCTTCTAATAAAGAAGGTCTAATCACTACGTAGGTTGAAAGACTACCTTGTGACACAATATTCTAAATGTCAAAGTAAAAAAATTCAACCATGCGCGGGTAAATGGTGAGAATAACTATGAATCTCTTAAGGTAGCTAAATGCATTGTCACCTAATTAGTGATGTGCATAAATAGATTAACGAGATTTCCAATGTCCCTATCTACTATCCAACAAAACCACAATCATGGGAATGAGCCTGGCAGAATTAGTGAAAAAAGAAGACCTTGTTGAGCTTAACTCTAGTTCAACTTCATGAAATAACTTGAGAGGTGTAGGATAAGTGGGAGCCAAAAATGGTGAAAGTGAAATACCACTACTTTTAACATTATTTTGCTTATTGATAAGAAGATATTCTATAGATATTCATATATTATTTAAATTCTTATATTGATTATTTAATGCCTAAATTGAAGATAAAAAACGATAAAATGTCTCACCTAAAAGATTTTGGTGCATTTTCAAGAAAAGGAGACAAAATAGCATGAAAAATGCTTTAAAACAAAAGGCTCAAAGTCAAGGACTAAGAAATCAAGAGAAAAAGTATCATTTACTTGTGGAAAAGATTGTAAAGCCTTCATCCACATGCGAATGTAACTCACATGGGGGATTTGGAGCTATCTAACACTCGACTGCATATGGACAAGCCTGTGAAGCATGCATCCGCAAGCAGGCGAGAGAAAATAAATGAGACAAAAATATAATTTAAATATTTTAAACTAGATATCAGCATATCTAATCAGATAAAGCATGATCTACATAGATTTTAAAGTAAGACCACTATATTTACATCAAGAGATTCAAGGAAAACTTCTTAATATTTTCATTTTATGTGGATGATATCCTATTGGCCATTAATAGTTTGGATTTAATAGTGGCCATTAAAGAATAGCTCTCATTGACTTTTGAAATGAAGGACATGGGTGAAGCAGAATACATTATTGGAGTTAAAATCCAAAGAGATCATTCTAAGAAGCTTCTTTCTCTTTCATAAGAGAGTTATATAAGGAAAATTCTTGAACATTTTAATATATGAAGGATTGTAAGCCTATAGTGTAAAAAATTTCACTTACTATTTCCCGATTAACTCCAAATCTCACTAAACTACAAGATTAATTTAGAGTAAAAGACAAGTTAACCAAATCTATCAATTTGGATTAAAAAGATGGGGTCCCAAGTTTTTAAAGTTTTAAACTATCTTAAAAGGTCTTACAAATAAGAAATCAAAGTTTATTAGCTATGCGAAAGCATGGGATCAATAAAAGGATCATTACATTTGCTTCAAATCAGAAAACAGTGGAAGTCTTCAAAAGCAAAGGCGTGTACCGTGGCTCATTAGACTCGTGCTATTGCTCATGAGCCCCTTTTCCATGCATTATAGCTCGTTGAACAATGCGATATAATCCATTGCATATCTCATGACAGCAAAACTCTATTGTCAATTTGATAGCAATTGGGGCAACTTTCAGCATGCCT